CTCTTTGTTTATTTCTCAAATTCTCTCACACTCAATGACCCCATGTGACTTTATTAGATTGCTTGGAAGGAAACGATTAAAAAATATTACAAATATTATGGGATAGAGTAATTTTTGTGGATCTGCATCTATATATATATATAAAGTTTAAACATATATTATTAAATATAAAAGACAATGAAAGCCTATTATGTCTGACCATGAGCCTTTCTAACATTCGAATGTTTGCTTTAATTTCTGATGAAAATAAAGACAAAAATTGTCCAACATTTGGATATTTTTTTATTAAGTTGGTCCTAAGCTTTCGGCTCATATGAGCCATTTTGTTACATGCGACGATAACGGTCGCGGAATAGCAGACGCAGATCGTAAGTTCAAGATGAGGTTCTGTGACATCATACCACGCGATAGACCAAAGTATTACAACAGAACCAATGTCTAGATGCAATGTGTTGTAACTAGTTTAAAATGTAATTTTGTTGAGTGTGGGTTGCTTTGTTTTAATGTAGATGGCCTCTAATATCTGAAGGTTCTTTTTTACTGTGTGTATGCGTGAGTATTGTTGTATTATCAACTAATATCTATCTAATATTATGTACATGGCTATGTTTTTCTAAGAAATGTTGCTTAATAGAACAAAGATTGGAAAAGTGACAGGTAAGTCTACGGGAGAGCGTGGTTGTAGTAAAACCAATACATGTAAAAAGCCAGAAGACGGAAGTCACATTGACAAGATTAAAATGAGACAATATGGATGAAGGAAATCACCAATCCGTGTGATATTTGTTGCGACAATTCAACTATCATATCAATGTTGAAATCTGCTCATCAATTCATTCAATCAAGCATTGCATCAAATACATATCAAAGGGGCTAGAAAGCTGTTTTTGCGCACGCACACACACACACACACACACTCTAATTTTTTCCCTTTTGCTTTAAATTAAATTTAAATTTGAACAAGGAAATGACTCCTATCCAAAATCTCGAAAGAGAAAGCCAGAAGATGGAGGTCACATCAACAAGATCATTGTGTAATATTGAAATGCATCATTTTTTTCCACAAATTACTACAATGATTTAAAACCAATCATCATTTTCTTGCAAAACAACAATGTGTACACGCAGCAAAATGCGAGTAATTCGACTTGTAATAAATAAATGCATAAGTAAATAAATATTTTTCGTTGTTTGAAAGCGCAGAATTTCGAAGCGGCGACATGAGTAGCGGTGTCGGTTCCCATAAGGGATAAACAGTCTTTTCAAAAGGAAATTCTCATCAAACTGTTATCCACGCATTGTTGGGGTTAGTGGGTGGCTGTAGTTAACTGAGAACTAAATAGAAAACTAAATTTGTTTTATGGTTTCAATTTTAGATAATGCTATTGATACTTATAGATCAATAGCATTAACTATATATATATTTATATAACAACAAAGATGAGGACACTAGTTCAATTGTCCTGTGACAGCCCGACCCCGGTCCTCATCAAGTGTTTGTTTATCCAGGTAAATGTTCAAGCAATTTCGAACTGAATTCTTTATCTAATCTACGGTGGAAGATCTTTTCTCATTTTGTAGTCAGTATCTTGGGATATCGCATCTTGTTTCTATTTAATACTACTCACTTATCGCTCGCTTTGCCCTGACCAAGGATTGAACTCACAGTTACCAATGATTTAATCCACTAGGCTACTGTCCCATAGGACAATCCTGTGTCTATTGAGTTTAGTTGTATCATTTAAAATAATTACAACCATTAATTTTTAAAATAAACCAGAAAACTCCATTTTCATTTTCCCCATGATACTTAGCTTCTAAAACTTTTAATATATGTTTTATATGCCGAAAAGTATATATGGTATATACTCGTGAAACGCATGATCTCGTGTATTGTACGACCCCCAATTTTTTACTTACAAAAAATAAAAAATGATTTATCTCGTGTATCATGCGAGTTTCTTTTTTGAGAGACTAAATTATAATAGTTTAACCTCTTTACCCCTCTCTCTCTTTATCCCATCTTCTAGTTGAATAAGTTAAAAAAGTAAAAGTAAATTATAAAAGTATCGCTAGTTACGCTATAGTCGTTGCGTAAATGCCCTCAACCATAAACAACCAAACGAGAAAGAGAATATTTTATAAACGTAAACAAAGGAAAAGATACATATTCGCTATGTTTGTATTTTATAATACGATATTAATATGTGAATATTACATGCATTATTATTGGATACAGTTAAGTAAAACATCAGTTTTATCAAAATCATGTTTATTTTAAATGCGGCTGTACTTTTTGACTACAGTAAATAAATGGATATATAGATTGGTCAATGACGTAGCCAGGGCAAGCAGTACATACGCTATCCCTATGATGTGACCTACTTAAAATTAGTTTTAAAATTAGGTCTTCAAAAGTCGCATGAGACGACAATATATACGGTATGTCTAAACCTAGAAAATAGGTACAAGTGAAAAGAAAAAAAAAGAAAAAGAAAAATAAAAAAAGAAGAAAAAAGGAAAAAACTGTGCCAAAATGAAAACAAAAGAATTTATGAAAGGATTAGATAAAGAAATATAGAATCAGGAATCTGTATATGATTTAACACCCGACTTAACATTGATCGTCCTGGGTATAACGATAAAGTACATCCGGCAACAAGGCCTTTGATCTGGAGATTGAAGCTTTTGAGGAACGTGGAACCACCTCTTTTGCTGATGCTGTTCCGGGTGGCAGCATCTGTAAGGGCCCCAAATATAGGCAAATAGTGAATCCCCAAACAAAAATCAACTCTACATTTTTATAATAAAATGACCAACCATAAATATTTATATCAAAATGAAAGTCAATGCAACACTAAAAAAATATGAAAATTCATTTTTGCAGTAAAATTACGAACAATACATTTTATGATCTACAAAAACAAAATATATATCTAAAAAACATACCTTTACTTAGAAAATATAAAATTATGTACAAAATATCTGTAGGTGTAAGCATAAAATTACATACAAAATATTTAGATTTCGCATTAAATAACCCATAGAGGTGTTGATATGCCGCTAAAGAAAATCAAGCGACCAACGTAACATTTGATTTAGCTCCCGCCTGTTTGACTGGTAGCAACTTTCGCCTCAGTTGTGCCATTGTCGCCTCGTGTTTATTATTTATTTAAACATCCAAACCTCAGGCATTATTTATATTTTCCTTTATTGTAGATTTGATTGTATCAAGCGAGACTGATTGTTAGGGAGTGGGGTGTGTATCAAAATTTATCTAACCCATAACATCCGACAGCTTGTTTCGTTAAGCCGATGACACTAAAATCGAACCTCTTTTGAGGTCATGGTCGAATACATGGTTCGAATATTTTTCCAGCCATTTACCAATACTAAATCAGTGCTTAGTGACAAATATTACATCAGGTTCTTCTTTTGTTTTTACTTTCTGAAAAGTAATTGACTCATCAGTTTTTTTTTTAGTTTTTAGTGAAATATAAATTGTACAATGTCTGAGCTATTTCGGCTTTCATAAGTTATTATCAAATGGTTTTCATTTTTATGTTATATCAGTTTCATCTTTCTTTTTTTTTTAATATCGCGTCTTCACATTTTAAAAATATCGTGTCTTGACGTGTTAGTTTATGTTATTTTTCTTTTTTTTTTATTGCTTGTTAAGTTTGTTTTTATGCTAAACGCTTTTATTATTTATAAACTTTTTTTAATAGTTTTTTTTATTTGGTGGATAATGGCAGAATTACTATACAGTGTAACCCGGATGTAAGAGAGTTGTCGGGACCGGAGAAGAAGTCTCTTATATCCGGGTTTCTCTTATATCCGGGTTTGGTCTAATTTATATACATTAACACAGGCTCTAATTTGGGACCAGAGAAAATCTCTCTTATATCCGGGTTTCTCTTATATCCGGGTTTGGTCTAATTTATATACATTAACACAGGCTCTAATTTGGGACCAGAGAAAATCTCTCTTATATCCGGGTTACACTGTATAAGGATTTATGATATATTTTAGGCAGTTTTAAAGAGTCATCACTATTTTTTAGGTCAACAATCGTTTTGACACTTCTGGATTTTCTTAGAGTCTTAGCAGGCTGAAGTCTAGGGCCTCAAATATCTAGGGAGCCTCCAGCCAAGGTGTATAATATTTTCCACACTGTCTACACATGCTGTCATAACACATTGTAGATTCTAAATAACTCTTCAGTAATTTTAAACACTCGTCATCATCCTCGGCTTTACTCAAATTGTTTTATTTAGCACTATTCCATTTTCCTCTACTCGAGAGAATAGGGGATTTGTAGGGGCCTCACAGGGCCTTTCTTCATCTAAATCCGACCCTGCTCTCACAACTGTGCATCGGTTTTGTTTTCGAGGTTAGATTTCTATAAACTTTGTCATTTCGTTTTGATTAAAGAAACGTAGCAACAAGAAACTAGGAAACAGGAAGCAATTAACAAATTTAAAATTAAGATATTAATCTGGATTTTTTTTGTAATTGAGCCAAATAATAGCGCATACAGATGATAAAATAAACAAAATCGGATCAAAAATGGATGGATGGAAAAAAAAAGCAATGTGATTTAAATGCTTATATTTCGAACTGATCATCTACTCATTCTGAGTGATACTTCATTAATCCCGTTCAATTTGTGAATTTTGTAAAAGGAAATGTACTTATCCAATGCCCGCCTCCGTTTTTAATCAAATCAGAAAATTAAAAAATAAAATGTTCGAATTTCACCAAATTGCTTACGGACACTTCATGTTGAAAAACAGTTTTCCGTACGATCACCAAAGTTAAGCAACGTCGAACCAGTTCCTTCCAGTTGGGTTCGTTATATTCACTTAAGCACCAATAACCTTGGGAAAGGTATGAATTGTCCTCTTCTCCCGCCAAAAGTTCTAAATAATTAAAGTAAATTGAAAATTATTTATCTCAAAAATGAAATACAAAAATTATTGGCTTACAATTATATGAAGTTGAAAAACCGGGTCCCGTACGACCACCGAAGTTAAGCAACGTCTAATCTGATCAGTACCTAGATGGGTGTCCGCTTGGGAATACCAGATGTTGCAAGCTTGTATGTGTGGGTGGCGTAATAGATAATGGCACGGAATTGTTAATCGGAGAGCTAAGTTCCAATTCCAGTAGGGTTCGTTATATTTACTTACGCGCAAATACCCTTGGGAAAGGCATGAAACTCACATCTTGGACCCCACCAGCTAAGGGTTAATTAGAAAGACTTGTATCAGTGAAACTATTATTATCTCTAAGCATAAAAAAATAAAATATAAAATTGTGTACAAAATATTTTGATTTCGGCATTAAATAACTCATAGAGGTGTTGATGTGCTGCTAATCGAAACAACTAAGCAACCTACACATGTACTGCGATGATATTCGTTGTAGACAATAGGGAAAGGTTCAGAAATAAATAGGCATTATTGTTGTGGTTATTATTATTCTTATTACATGTTCACCTGTATTTGTAAAAAAATGACAATATGTAATTAATTTTCGCAGATTTTTCTTGCAATTTCTTGTTTATGTTCAATATTCCTGAATATGAGACGAAGTAAATTACATTGTATTCGCTATTGAATAAATATGAAGTTTTATTTCTCACTTTTAACGTTTAAATTATCTTTCTACAACAGAAGATTTCACGAAAAAATATGAGTGAATCGTCCATCTCTTATGTAGTGGACGTTTTTGATGATGCATAAAAATGTATTACTCCCGCCACATACACATTTTATAGATTTCGTTTTATATAATTAGATTATTATTCCTATTATTATTTAGAAAAAAAAATACAATGTCAAAGTAAACATTAGGTACATTAAAAAAAAACCATGCGTACTTTCGACATATGAACCAAAAATGTAAATAAAATACAATTTAATAAAAAAAAAATTTCCTGTTTTTAAAATTTATCAGAAAACGAAGAATTATCGGATTTCATTTAATTTTTTTTTAAGCATTAACTTTTTAATCTTATTTTTAAGTTCGATGAAAGTATATTTTCCGGTCAGTTTTACCCAGGGTCAGGTATAAATTTTTGGAGTCAGTAAGTTAATGAAATTATAGCACCCCCCCCTTTCAAACGTAGCCATCATCTAACTCGCCTGCACTCGTGAAATGTTTAAGCAACATTTACATTGCTTGAAATAAACTTGTTGCAAGTTATTTAAATAAACTACAATGTTTTTGTTTGTCTATAAAAATATGCTTTAAGAAAACCGCTATACTATTTTATAATTTATTGCAAATCAAAGTAGCACATATTTCGACACAACCGGATTAAAAAAGCAGATTTTTATAACCAGCAATAAGAAAATCAAAATAAATATGAGTTTGTCATATTGATATCATTTCAGATATAGTTAAATTATCAGATCTAGAAAATTAAAATCACTAATTTCTAAAAAAGTCTAAGATTTAATCATTCTGAATTAAAATGAAACACGCCATCTACTTGAAACATAATGGCAGAAACGAAAAAAACATTCTTTCATTGGCTTTGCTTCTGGCAAAGTCAAATAAATATACGTTTTTCATATTGATATAATTTTAATTTATGAATTAATTTAGAAGTTATAACATCTAGTAAATTAAAATCATTGCTGTATAAAACCTTGAGGTGTCCTCAACTGCAGCCTAAAGGATAACCCAACTCTGGTTATACCCCACTTTATTTAACTTGTGGCTTGTGTAATTTGGATTTTCCAAATTTTTATATTTTAAAGCTAAATCCACAAAAGTATTATATCATTAAGAAAATATTATTGACTGTGTGCACATCGAAAATATGGTCAAAAAAATCTTACGAAAAGAATTCAAGAAAATTTTTTATGGAGAGTTGCTGATACCCAATTTTAACAAATTATATCAGTGTAACCCGGATATAAGAGAGTTGTCGGGACCGGAGAAGAAGTCTCTTATATCCGGGTTTGGTCTATTTTATATACATTAACACGGGCTCTAATTTGGGACCAGAGAAAATCTCTCCTTTATCCGGTTTTATATATATATATATATATATATATATATATATATATATATATATTTTTTTTTTTCATAGGAAAAAAAATCTGATGTATACTTGTTTCTGAATAATTAACAAGTATTTTTAGAGTCCGATTTTAAAAATCTTTCTGATCTTAACTCTTTGTATAGAAACGGTATAAAATGAAGAAGTGTTTGAAGAATTGAAAAATTTCAAATTTAATGTAATTTTCGGATGTGAATATTTTTTTAATTAATTTTATAGATTCTTTTCATTTTGCAAATGTTTGATTATTTTTATTCTACGGAAGATCGAAAATCAAAACTAAATTTCTAAATTAGGCCCTTTGACAACAAAATGACAACAGAATTATTAAAGATTTTGACTAATCTACTCATGCTGATAATATTTTTTTTATCTTTTTAATAAGATTTTTGATATTATAATAACAAGGCCGGTACGTACTACCCCAAAATACCCCGATTAAAGGACAAGCCTGATTCGTGTGTTCCGGGTAGTGTTTTGTGATTATTGCTATACTATCAACATTTGCATTTTTCTACCTACATTACAAATTAAACTAAACACAACTGATTATTAAAGGATGAAAAATTATTGCTGTCATTCCGAGGTCCTTTTTTTTTTTTATTTGTTCAAAACCTTGAATTTGATTTGTTCATGTCTATAAAAAAAAAAAAAAAAAAAAAAACACTATATAAAATTCACTATTTTTTATCCTAAATGTTGAATGTGTCAAAATTCTTCAAATTTTTAACAAAAAAAATCCCAAGTTGATGTTAAAAATTGTCGCAAAACATTGATTTGTATAAGAATGGAATGATCTATTATGACATGTCTCTAATGTTGTATTTAGATACATTGTATTCATTTTCACTTTTTTTTTTTAGTTGAATTGTTCACCTAAAATACATATGATCCATTATTGTACATAATTAGGTTACAATAAAATTTGTATTTTAAATGAATACTACCTGATGAAAATTAAGATTTGGAGAGTTTGCAACTCGTATTAGTTGGGGGCGAGGGTGGAGACTCTAAAAAGATAAAGTAATCACTTTGTTAAGGGATTGTAACTGACCTGAAAAAACATTTCTACAAAGTTTTCTAATAGATGAGCTTCGTTTTTTCATGATTCATGGCGCGACTTTTTAAGAGTAGAAGCAGGGCCGTAAGATAACAATTCTTTGATCTTTGAATTTGTTGAGACGTGGAGGACATACCCTGCTGCAGGTGAAAATGTATATTTTTGTTGGATTTTTTTGCACAAAGTAAATAGTATTTTCATAAAATCTAATCTAATTAATCCTTGGATTTACTATTTTTCCACGACAAAAATGTCTAGGACAGATTTTGGATTTTTAAGATATTTTCAGTCTTTTACTTTTCTTTTGCTAGCGTTCATAAAATTCGCTAATCGAAATGGGCGGAAGTAAATTTACTTTTATTTTTTATTTTTGAAACCGTTTAAAATCTTTATTTAAAGACGTGAAATATTTTTTTCATTTAATACCGATTAACTTTAGGCTATTATCTTTAAAATGAAACCAAAAATTAAACTTCAAAGGAGATATTTCAATTATTCAAAATGAATTTTGCTACAAAATCCGCGAAGATACCTAGTAAATCGCGTCTCTCACAAGTCACACAAATGCACACAACCAACTCCTCCGTTAACCATTGTGGCATTTCCCTAATGTTCACGATACATAGTAGTGGGGCGTTTTTTCGATGTACTAATCGATATACTATTCACACTATTCCTTCTTTCTTTCTAAAAAAAGATATTTAAACAGAAACATGTCTGAATATGAGCTACAGTCATGGTGCCCATCTCAGAAGAATTCTGCTCCGTGCCGATATCAATGCAGAAAAATTAAATTAAGATGAATGTTTGCCTATCGTCCAGTTCACACTCCTCCCCGATCTTTTGTACAAGAGAAAAGACTTATCCCTTGTTCCGGATTGGGTTTCTGGTTCCTTCTAAAAAGTCTTTTCATTATCTTTCACTCCCAGTATCAACCCCACCCCCTTGGTCTTAGTGGCTTTATTGTCTTGTTTGATTAAAACAAAAAGATTCAGTATCTTTCTTTTAAGAACATCTTTATCAAAGAAGGTCATTAGTTCTAATTAATCTGTCCTGGTCAGCTTTGATACAATAAAAAAATCCCTCTTATAAGTAAAAATAAGACAAGAATAAAAAACACGATTATGTATCATTCTAATTATTAATTATAAATCATAGTTGGCAGTTAGGAATACATTTAAAGTCCCACTAACATATGCTTTACTTTTTGCCCAGCAGTGGCAGCGTATACGGTGGATTAAAGGGAAAATGTTGTTCTCCTCCATGACAACACAAGTCTGGATACAGCAAGAAGACAAGAAAAAATTGGGGAACTTGGCTGGTCTGTTCTGCCCCATTCAGCTGACTTTTATAGAAAATTTATAGTAATAATAATAGTTTAATATTCAGTCTAAAAATGATGGTAATATTTAAAATATTAGGTCAACTCATAAGTAATTTCCGTTTCTTAGGAACTAAATGTAATAACGAACACATCATCCTAACGACGAATCACACAGGACAGTTGAAAATAAATGGATCTTCACCCCAAAATAAAAAAGAATTTATATTTACTAAAATTCACACCCAAATTCAGAAATGTCCTTTAAAATTTGTCCAAAAATGGATTCATTGTTATTTTTTGCCTGAGATCTCCAAAGAGGCTCACACAAATAAAAAGCTCCTATCATGCTGCAATGAATCCCAAACATGGATTTATTCTTCATTTTGGCATTCCATTAGGTACTTTTGATTATTTGCATGTGATCTGGTGTTTCTGAGTCAACGAAATTCATACCATGATTTACAGTCAGATGAATAGAATTGGAATCATCCTTCAAAGGTGTATATCCTTTCCAACAATCCAACATAATCGTAGTCCCATGTAAAATATAGCTTCGGATTGTGTCCAATAATGTGGAGGCTGTTCTAAATTTATGGCAAGCTAAACAAACATTGATTTAAAATTTATAATTTCAAAAGA